GCCGTTCCAGCAGCAGCTGGTGTGGCTGGCCTGGAGCCAGCTGCTTGGGCTGCCCTAGGGTCAGCCACACTGGCCCCCTTCAGAAGTCACAGAGGTCGCAGAAAGTCACAGAATCGGTGACCTCCATGATAGACATGCAGCCCTACATATAATTAACTAACTACTACTAAATTATCTGACATCCAGTAAAGCAAACTACAAATATGCTACAAAGAGCTTTATATAATGGAAACTCACATGCCTCTTTAGAATAAGCTATACTGGCATAAGCACTTTTATACCGGTATAACTGCAACCATGCTGGAGGGGGAGAGAGGGAGAGTTGGCCACTTTAAAAAAGCTGCAAAACTTTTCAGTGTATACTAGTGACTTGCTGTAGCTCACACAGGAAGTCTGTAATGAGGCAGGTAACTGAGCCCACTTCTTCCAAGTACCAAGCTAGCACCCTAACACTAGCTCATCCTTCTCCTCTAACATGAAGCTAGTTCATGCATTGTGTTATTGGAATTGGTACTGTATACAGAATACATAGTTGTTCACGAGGCTTCATACTCCTGGACATCTTGACTATAAATATAACAAAGCTTGCTCGCTGACAAATTTTCCTAACTTATGGAGGAAAGGCCTACATTTTAAAAAAACATTAATTAACAAGGTGGTTTGTTGTCAGTTTCACTTTCTACAGTAGTTCTTACTTCTCTTTTCTACTGTGTTACATGGTGTTATAAAAACACACAAGTCTGTTAAATTATTCAAGACATAAAATTAAGTTAAGTGCACCCTCTTGAGGTTATTTAAGTGACAACCCTTACTTAGAGCTTGTCTACATTAAGAAAATTTGTACTGGTGGAGCTAAATAAATGTAAGATTAGAATAAACAGATTTAGTTACACACCAGTAGTGGGGCGTAAAGCAGTTTAGTTTAATTCAGTTATTAAAATAACAAGGATAGTATGTCTTTTACAAAAGCTGTGCAGAAAGAATTTGGTTACAGAATGAAGCTTAACTCATTTATATAACCACTAACAAATTAATTTAGAGAAGCAAAGGACTAAGAAGTTAAGGCTTACAATCTGTAAAGGCTTTCTAACCCCTGAATCTAGACTGATTATTGTTATTATTTGAATGCATCTTCCTTTTTCTCTGCACAGCTTTTGTGTATTATGAAGAACATTTATCAAGGAAGACCTCTACACAGTTAGAGATCACATGGTCACCAAAAGCTTCAGTGGTGAGATGACAGATACAGGCATAGCTATAATGGCATAGCCCCATAGCTAGATGCAGCTTACAGCGACAGAAGTGGCTTTTCTGTTGCTGTAGGAACCTGAGTGACAGTGGCTAGGTCAATGGAAGCATTCTTCCACTGACCTAGCTGAATCGACACTGGATCAACATAACTAAATCGCTGAGGGGTGTGTCTTTTTCACACCACTGAGCACCATAACACCATGTCCACCTACATCTGAAGTGTAGACCACTGAACACCCTGCCAGATCATCAAGTTCAAATGGCCTTCTAGTAAGCCATGCAATTTCAAGATTGATCTGGGTGGTACCGGATCTGCAAGCAAGCTATGTCCCTTTTGCTTCAATGCTAATGATTAAGGCTGAGGTTTGTCATGGAGGTCACAGATTCCATGACTTTCCGTGACTTCTGCAGCAGCCGGTGTGCCTGGCTCAGGGGCAGCTCAGGCAGCCCCTGCGCCAGGCGCACCGGCTGCTGCTGTGGCAGTCCCAGGTTACCACGCCCGTCCCCCACAGCAGAGTTTGGGTGTGGAAGGTGGCAGGGGGTTAGGGCACAGGAGGGGGTGAGGCGGGCTCTGGGCAGCGCTTACCTGGGGGCTCCCTAGAAGCAGTGACATCTCCCTTGTAAGCTGCTAGGCGGAGGTATGGCTAGGTAGCTCTGTGCGCTGCCTCCGCCCAGAGTGCTGGCTTTGCAGCTTCCATTGGCTGGACCCCAACCCCCTGCCACCTCCCACACCCAAACTCTGCTGCTGCTGGGGGGGGGG